TGATATCAGTCATTTTGGATTTTTTAAAAATAATAAATTCACTTAATTACAAATTATTACTTTTATATTAGTATACTATGGTACAACTCAACATTATGTCCAGCTGAATAAAACCAAAAAATCAAACAAAAAACAACATTAATTTGTTTAATAAAATATATCTTCGATGATAAATCGTGCACTTGCTACTTTTCAGATTCAGCCTCCTACTTCCAAAACTTTTGAAATCCCTGCTTAATACCCATAATGCTTTGCAAGCAGAATTGTGATATAGACGAATTGGAGCCCTATTAAAATATACTTATCATAAAAATATTTATTTAAATCATTGTTTCATATTAAGCCATACCTTTACACTTGTGATGTTTGTTCCATATAGGAACAAAGGATGTTACATAAATTTAAAGTTAAATCATCTATCGTGGATTTTAAGATCCAACAGATTTTTAAACTTAACTATAGAAGATGATCCCAATGGTCCGTAGTTATTGGCAACATGGGTCATAATATGCTTGAGTTCTGATAATTTTTTGTGATAACTTCTCTAGTTTAGAAATATATTATATAAAATACAGGCATATTTTCTAAATAATTTGAGACTAATGTCAAGTCTCTTGACCAGCAGTCATGGAGTTACCCAAAAAAAATTGAATACCAAGACGCGATTCAAACTCACAACCTTAGTTCTTTAGAACACATCCTTAACCGACCGCGCCATCCATGGGCTATTAGTGGTAATGGCAGTAATGTACAGTCCTTGCTGAAACCCCTGTTTTGTTTTGTACAGTAGGTGATGGGGAATCCTGGGGTCCAACTTAAAAAAAGGGTGATCGTTTGTTGGAAATCACCTAATTCTCCTGCACGTCAGCAGTTTCAGGATAGGAGAACCCTATATTTTCATCCCTAACTGGCATAATTAGGCCTAGGACATCAATTTTATATAGGCCTCTACAGGGACGGGATATGTGACAAAGAAATTTTTTCAGAAATTAATCCCCCTTAATAAAATAAAAAGAAACATGAATTTGAATAATTTGAACAATATACTACTGTAGGTTTCTACAGACATTAGTGTCAGAGATATACAATATGCAAATTCTGTGAATATAGGGTCATTGATCAGTTTTAGCATGTTGGTTAATTGTGGAGAAAATGTTAGAGCAAATAAAAATGTGTGTTCTGAATAATTTTAAAAAGGAAGCAACTCTCTGCGACCAGTTGTTGCTAATTTGAATATGAACAGTTCATGTGACCATGGTGTGATTAGAGATTTTCATACCTTCTATTAATATAATGCAAAGAAACATGCATTTGAATAATTTGAGACATAAAGTAAGTTTCTATTAGTCACAGAGATGCAAATTCAGTGAATATATGGTCAAAGGTCTATTGTAGTATTTCTGTTCATCTTTGAGGCAAATGTTCTATTAGAGCAAATAGAAACATGCATATTTTCAATAATTTGAAAGAGAAAACAACTTTTTGCGACCAGCGGTTGCCAAGATATGAAACCCATATTTTCAAAGTAATTTGCATATTTTAGATAATTTGCATACAGTATGTTCCTGAGGTGTAACCAATTTCTGGAATTTCATCCCCTCATATGCATTAGATTAAAAGAGAAAAACCTTTGCAATTTGTTTGACTTCAAATGCTAGATTGCCTAGCCTACATAATACTATAAGGTCACAGTGTCTCACAAGGAAGGGGTGGGGGATTTCTTGTTCTGTGTATTTTGATAAGATTTCAATCTATCCGGACAGCCTACAACCTGATTTCTAAGTTGGTAAAATCTAACATTATTCTGTCTATCCAATAGAAAGTTCAATCTTAAAAAAAATATATAGGTTCATTAACATTGCACTTGAATAGAATAAAAAAAATATTGGGAACATACAAAAATGTTGTAGTTTTAATTAAATATTTCATATCTTAAAGCCCCATTCCCCGTAGAATTTCAGTTGTTAAGAAAAATCTAATTTTTGTATTTAATGTTATAAAGATTTATAAATATAATTTATGGAATTGCTAGTTTAACTAAATTTTGACATTCCTAAGCATGAAAAAATTTAAAATAAGACTGGAATTTGATTTTTTGTGTTCCACACAAAAAATAAATGCGAATGAATTTTTCATGTTTGATTTTGCGATAGGTCGTGCAAAGAAATATAGTGGTAGGTGCCGAAAACATTAGCCTATCCAACACTGCTAGGCTAGGCCTAGCCTTACCTTGATTTAGGTTCTGTTATCACTATGGGCGTCAATTGGTGGGGACGGGGGACACGGCCCCAGGGGGGACATCATATCGATTGTCCCCCTCACTTTTCACCAATCTTCTATAATTAAAACCCCACTTTGAAAAGCGAATGGAAAGAATAACCATTACGCATGACTACCAAAACCGAGTAAAAACACAATTGTTTATACATTTCCTAACCATCTCAGAAACCACTAGATCGATTTTGTGGGTGCATCAGGGGCTAAATTTATTGTGAAAACAATGTACTGAACTATACTTATTAGGCCAATATTTATACAAACTCAAAAGTGCACAATTTCTACTATAAACGATTTATTCCTTTTGTATATTATTATGACCCGTACGTATATACTAGAGTTTAATATTACCTACATACATAGGATTACTGTTTTCCCTAATTTCAAAAAATTATAGCTCGTCGATTGAATTTTATATAGCCATTATTAAACAATAATTATACAGCCTTTGACACGGATATGTCTATCTATTTCGATTAAGTTATAGGCCTACCAAAAGTTTACAAACTCCAGTTTTACATTGACGCAATCTCGCAATGACGTCATAATAATCAGTGGTGGATTCGTTCAAGTGGGGCCGAGCCGACCCTAAATTTTTTTTAAAATTATTTTTAAAAAATGGAAAAAAAACAAAGGAAAATTATAATTAGAATTTAGGTCTGAGAGTGCCATTTCCGGCAATCTAGAGGTGTCATAATCATAAATTTTCTTTCCTCAAGCCCCAACCAAGGTGGGGCTGAGGTGATCTACTTTCCCAACGTGCAAGTCCCTCCCTGTCCCCCGTCTAATTTGCTTTCCTGGAGCCACCACTGATAATGATAAATTAAGTAAATCACCTTTATGTTTGTCAAATCAAAATGCTAACTAATGTTTTGTGTGCTCCCTATCTCCCTTGTCCTGTTTGATTATAAATTAGACGGTATTATTTCCACTCACAATAATTTAGTCGCAATATTGCTTACACAAAAGTGAAATTCAAAAAGAGGAGAAAAGCAAAAACCTCTTGATTGATTTTAAAAGTACTGTACGCAAAAATTAATGACTGTTTTAAGTTTATCTTATTTGTTTTTCATAGTTCGAATTTTGAATACGTTACAAGCTAATCAGTAGATAATAAATCATTATTTTTATGAATGCTAGTTTGCACGGAATATATAAGCGGGCATAATTATGACTAAAAGGATAATTTTAAAAACTATTTATGATGATTATTTCAGTGGCAGATTCAAAGGGGCCCAGCCAGCCCACCATCCCTATTTTTTTTTTTTTTTCTGAAATACTAAAGGAGAAGAAAATTTAAAATTATATTCAAATTCAGTCTAAGAGTGCCATTTCTGACCAACTAGAGGTGCCATAATCATAAATTTTCTTACCTCAGCCCCAACCATGGTCGGGCTGAGGTGATATAATCTACACTCTCCATCTGTAAAAGTCCTTCTCTGGGCCCAGCTCTATTTCAAATTACTGGATCCGCCACTGGATATTTTGAAAATTTCGTATGGAAATAAATTTTAATTGCATTGCTTAAAATCAATTAAAAGGCTATACGCACCAGAGCTTCCGAGGGCTTCGTCCCATGGTCCCCAACCAATCATACGGCCCAAGGCTTTTTTTTTACATTTCCCCCCCCCCCCCCCCACTTTCAACCACGGATCGACGCCCTTGGTTATCACACATAAAAACAGCCGACACGATATTTTCCGTTGCTAATATTGTCACTTATGAAATATAATATTTCATAGGAATTATTTCAAATTTGTTAAAAAACTGATTCTGACTGAGATTTTGACACTTAAACAAACATATCTTCTCCCTACTCGAACGACCGCATTGTGCGAGATGGGGAAGTACAAAAACTAATCCCATTAGAGAGGGCGCACTTTATTGAATGTATAAAGTATACATAAAAGCTTGAGTATTCCAGCGGATGCGATCTACAACCTCTGAATTTGCCTAGTAACGAAGAATTCGTCGAGAAAAATGGTAATATTCTATGAGAAATAGTCTGTATTTCTCATTTTTTTGTATTCTTTTGCGTAAAACTAAAATTTATGCCAATATTTTTAAATGATTTATAATAATTGGAGTAATCCATATGCATCTTTTCTAGAAAAAAATCTGTTTTTAGTGAAATTTTGCCGGGAGTGATTAAATGAATTATTTTTTGCATTGCAAATTATTGTTATAAAATTATTTATAATTACTTAGTTCAATTAAAATAAAATTTTATAGAATCTATGTCATCATTATACGAAAACATGCCAAAAAACCGTATTAAGGGGACAATTTTACGTTTTTGGTTAGTTATTTCCCCCCTTTTCAGGGGACACCCCTATTATAAGGGACACTTTTTTTGGTCCCAAAGGTGTCCCCTTCAAATAGGAGTTATATATACTGTACTTCTAGTAGAGCGTCAGCCTATAATAGTCCTACATACATAATATTTTTATAAATTAAAGTGTGTGAAATGGTGGGGGAATATTAGTTTCTACCTTCCCGACATACCATAGGTCTAGTGTATACGATCGTGAATGAAGTTACTGTTAGGGGTTAGGCACTGTGCCCGGAGTCCTATCTATGCAAAGTAGAAGAAATACAGAACAATGAACGTCTGCTCTGGCACCGCAACGAGTTGATTTAGTTTCTGTACCACTCCTAAGGATATTTTATCATTATGACCTATTTTCTAGAATAAGATACAGTACAAACGAATGAGTACTTACCAGGGAAGAAATTACGTGCTGCAAACAAACATATTTTTGAAGATACGTTTCTGTTACTAAAATAATCCACTCAAATGTCCATTCAAATCCAGGTGCTGAAAATCTCTTCTTCACGTTAGCCAACCGTCAGCATACAATTTTATGCAAAGCCCGTATTCGACTGGTCGGTTCTTCGTTAAACCACGCCCACCTGACCACCTATCTTTTAACACTGAGCTAGCTTACCCTCTAATTATGAGACCCCTCTAATGAGACCGAAACAACCTTTATGGAGTACTAAGTGACAAAAAAACCTCCAATTCAAGACCACATTTAAATATTCAAAAAACATATTCAAGTTTTTTTAACAATAAATAGGGCCTACTCTTTAAATTTGAAAAATTGAGCTGTAGGCCTATTTTATTTGATACAGTCCTGTTCTGCCATTGCTGCACTATCCCCCGGCTCCGTAGCCAGGGGAGGGGACATTCCCCTGCTAGTCCTATGTAAATACAAACTAAAGGCAAAAATTATTTGTTATAGTAACAAAAACTATTATTGGGGGAAAATATTGGGGAAATTTGGTCAAGATGAACACCTGACATATTATCATCCAAAGATTTGTAAATAAAGTGTCATCTGAGCGTTTCCCTGTTGGTATTCGCATTGATGTGAAAAGAAGTGGATATTAAGCCCCGTAGCCAAAATTAAGGGGAGGGGGAAGGGCCATTCAAATTAAGCACCAACAATAGCGGTACTGAGGTGGGCGTGGCCCTTCTAGTACTTGCTCGCCACTCCCTCCACCCCCAACCCTGATCAACGAGTCTAGCTTCGCGGGGCTTCTCTCCCCAACTTTTTCATGGCCATGAGGAACTCATTGGAGAATTGCTTATTGAAGATTGGGATATAAGGAAAGGCCAGTAACAAAAAAGAAATAACATTTTTCTTTATGTAAATGATGGACACTAGACATAAACCTAACTTTAGTCAAATAAAGTGTAAATTTTATGTTTACTTTACAGTGGGCCTATATATATGCCGTTCATATTTTGTTTCAATGTGTTTTAAACAGCTTCAAGTTGGTCACAAAAATTTAAAGCAAACAACAGTTTTCTTTGAAATAAATAAATGGTTGTCCCATGGAGGCCCTCTTATCTTCGGTCTTCATTCAGAGGTTTCAGGTTCGGTTACCC